TGCTGGGGCCATCTAGCCTGGAGAAGAGAAGGCTTGAAGGATCTCATCAATGTCTATAAATACCTGAAAGGAGGGTTTAAATAAAATGATGTCCAATGACAAAGCAAGTGGCAGTGAGCACAAATTGAACAGTAATTTCCATCTGAACGTCAGGAAACACTTTTCAATTGTGAGGGTGACCAAACAATGGCACAGGTTGCACAAAGAGGTTGTGAAATCTACATCCTTGGAAATAGTGAAAAGTTGTCTGGACACAGTTCTGGGCCACCAGCTCTAGATGACTCTGCTAGAGCAGGGGCTTGCAGCTGACCTTCAGGGGCCCTTCCAAACTCAGTGATTCTGTGGCTCTGTGACTTTGTGATTCTGTAGACAAATATACCTTCCTGAAAACAGTTGTCATAGTTCTTACCTTAACTAATTGCTTAAGAGAGTTTCATCTTGCTCTTCTCTCTGGGCACTCTTACAATTGACAACCTCAGGCTTTGTAAGGCTTTACACAGCAGTACATCCTATTTAGCCTTCAGCCAACTGAGTATTCCAATTTTTGCAGTTTTTCATTACTTTTTCATGAAATAAAGCAAAAGGAAAAGCACAAGAATTCCTCAATATCCCACAACCATAAAACTCCATAACTACCTGTTTTTCACATTGAAGACAATTTTTTTATATTCTTGAAGACATGAATCTTCAAGAACCTAGAATAAAATTCTTTCCTATAGCTATTCAAACACTTGATCTGATGAATGATGCTGTGTCAAAGCAGTGTGTCTAATGTATTTTTTTCTGACAGGCCAGAAATTATTTGAGATACTGAAATAGAAAGAGGTAGGCGCAGGCATATCTTGCAAGTGTCTAGAATGGCAAAACATGTTGATTAACCAGAAAAAAAAACAAACCACCAAGTCTTTTATTCTACTCTTTACTGATTAATTTTTCCACTTTGAACATTTTTTCATGCAGATATTACAAGATGTAGCTGTTGATATCTGGTAATCTATGTGGAACACCAATTAGAGCTAATTGCTTCTTTGTTAGAACCTGTTGTGTTTTATCTGATTTGTGTATAAACCATATAAACGGTGCAAAGATAACCAAGATACCTTATCAAATCTGGCAGATGATAATAAAGTTACTTTTTCAGAAAGCACCAGAAAAACAATGGAATTCTGAACCTTGCAGTGTTTAAGATGATAGGTATTAAATGAGCAACCATGGCTGTCACTAGAGGGAGTGTCTGTAACAGTGGAAAAAGATGCTTGTCGATTTTCGCCGTGTTTAAATTACTAGTAACCTGCAGGGGTCTTTGAAAAAGCACTAGGAAAAATAAATCTGCAATGTACTGCATATGTAAGAGTCATTTTTGTTTCCTATTTGTTTATTAGAATCAGAGCATAAGGCATTTTAATGGATTAAAACTGCTCAATTTTTCTAGCCTCAGGGCATACAGGATTTTGAATGTCTGTTCTTAGGTTTATGTTTATAATTGTGGATGTACACATGTCGGTGATACTTTTAATACATTAAGCAGTTTTAGTATGTGAAAAAGCAACATTCATTAATTATCTCCAGGAGGTGAAAAGTTGCCAGTTGCTCTAAGCTGCTAGATGCCATCACTTTTCAATACTGATGTGGTCAGAACTATTGATTGTTGTTCTTTTTTACATCTTAAACCACTTGTGGTTTTAACTAAGATAAACAACTGTGTACCGTCATTCTTTCAACACAAGTCATGTTTCTAAACCTTGCATTTTCCTTACTATCCTGTGAATAATTGTGTTTGTCTACTTCTTTCTTGACAGATAAAATATTCCAGACAACTCTATAAATGCAAAGTAAAGTGGAATAATTGCACAGTATTCCCATTTTTCTGCCATACAAGGTGTGTCTTATTGCATGTAGCTACCTGTCTTTTTCTCGTCTGAATTTAAATTCTGATCTAGAGTTCACAGACCTCCCTAGCCTGGGGCTATCTGTAGATTTATAAATATACTCTTAGCTCCCCCATCTGCAGGCCCGTTCTTGAAAAAGGTGAACGGAAGGGCCAGAAGCTGTCTAGGAGAAGCCAGAGCATGGCACTGCAAAGCTAGTGGTCCCTCAGGGCCAGGCACCAGGAACCACAGGGAATCCCCCTGGAATGGCAGGCAGGGCCTGGCAGCCCATTCCATTCCATCCCACCAGCCCAGCCATGGGCCAGGTTGCTGATGGCTTCTGGTGTAGTCACAACCCCAGGCACTGGTAACCTCCTTGGGCATGGGGACAGGCCAAGGCTGGGCCACAGTGTCAGCCTGGGTGTCAGGACTGGCGTAGCGGGGCCCATGGCCAGGCAGGACAGATGGAAACCAGCCCCAGTGTGGTGGCACGGGGACAGGCACTGATGGCCCTGGAGGCTGATGTGGTCCTGGGCTTTGGGCAAGGTGAGGGAAGGTCCTAGAGGAGGCCAGGCAGGGGCAATCAGATCCATCAGTGTCCTTATCCCTGACAGGCTGCTCTAGGAGGGGACTGCAGGCTGGGAACCAAGCATGGCCACAGCACAGAGAGTGACCTTGGCAACAGGACACAGTCCTGCAGCATCTTAGCAGAACTGGGCCAGTGATATTGACAGTCACAGCAAGGCAAGGAGTGAAAACAGGTCCAGGGTCCAGACAGGAAGAGCAAGAGACACCTGAAGACAAGACTCCAATGCAGGTCTAAGGTCTATCAATAAGACAGGACTGGAGAGAAGACCAGAGACAATGCTGCCTTCCACACAGATCCACAGTATTCACAGGAAGACCAGGCAGCAAGACAGGGCTGCAGGAAAGAGGCTGGGAATGGGTTCAGCTTTTAAATAGCTCAGGTCAGGTTTGGGTGCCCAGGCCTGAGCTGACCCAAAGCCCCAGAGCTGTCACAGAGGGTGCATACTGCTGGGGTGGGCAGGTTGGCCAGGGCAGAGCCCTGATAGAGGGAAACAACTGAAGTGTGATTGCAGACTTCTAGCCAGAAAATTGCTTAAACATGCTAGAATCTACAATGTAAACATCATCTTGCTTATAACTTTTCAGAGCAAAGCCAGTGCCCATGGAAACACCACGTGGTTAGCAACAGTCCTTTTTTGTCCTCAAACTCCATTCATGTTCTTGGCTCAGAATGTGCAAGCCAAGTCATGGAGCCCAGGAGGAGGTGCATCCACACCTGGAGCTCTTCCCAGGCTGAAGTTCTGACCTGTTTCCTTCAAGGCTATTGGGCCTTGAATGAGAAGAGTCCCTTGCTTCTCTCATTTTATAATCCAGCAGCTTGGTCTGTCTTACACTGTACCAGAGTCTCCCTTAGCACTGACCAAAGTAGGGAACAGTTACAGAGCTCCATATCTGACTTGGCAAGACAGTCACATCTTTTCTCTCATCTATGCCTCAGTGGAGTGTGTAGCTCTCTTGTTCATTTGCCTTGAAATTCAGTGGTCTGCCTATGGCTTCACTGTTATTTAGTCAAGTTGATAGGGACACCAAAAAATGGTGGTGGGTGGTGGCTCTTAAGGCTGCAGGTAAGTTACAGATATGAGCAGTGTGCCAGAACAACATGACTGAGCAGGGCATGAGACAGCCAGCATTCCCAAAGGAATTCCATGCAGTACAGATTGAAGTTGTCTGCACTCTGTTGTGGGTGCTTCAGCTTGTCCCCTCATTGGATACCCGATCCGAAACAGGATAAATGTATCTGATGGATTCCTCACTTACGCAAGATCTAAGTGCTAACATATGCCCATATGATCAGGATTTATATTGTATTTCTTTGTGGGCATAATATCAGTTTCTCACCCTAAAAAGGTGTGTTGAGGGGATTAATTACATCTAGGAAACACATACTGATGAACTGAAATTAAAGACTTATATCAAAATAATATCTGATCTGTTGTACTCAAAACATTTGAGTAACTCTAATCTAGCTGGAGGAGAACTATTTATCCAAGAAGATTGTGGTCTAATTTTTTACTATGCATAGGTTACATTTTCAAGTTTCCTTCTCCCAAGGCTGCAAACATTTATGCTGACATTTTTCTTGTTGTGCACCTACTTCAGGTGACAATAATTCCACCTTCTCTCAGGGTTAGATTTGTTTTTCTTTTTTTTCTTTGGGGAATGGATTTTATCTTTTCTGATCATGTGGAAAATGCTAGTCTCTCCTTTTCATTTTGATCTGTCGTGTGAATTTCAAAATCACTCTTCCGAATTTTCAGTGCTTTTTTTACTGCTTTACATTTACTGCGTGTCTAACTTGCAGACA